TCCGCTGTTGTTTTTGCAACCTTGTTGACACCATGAGCTATTCTCTGTGACCCCCTCTGCCATGTGCCACACTGCCTTGGGGCCAGCCAACTGTAGACTGAAACCTCTATAAACTGTTAGCTAGATAAACATTTACCCCTTTCAGACTGGGTGTGGGATAGCCCCAAGAAGATCTTGAAAGTTTAAATATGTTACAGGAAGAAGTGGCCCAGTTGCCATGGTTCCTACCTGTGCTATACTGCTTTTTGTGCCTATGCATGCTTCCATGGGTTCATGGATGTATGATCAGTTGACAGAGGAAGAGAAGACTAGGGCATGGTTTACAAATGCTTTTGCACATTATGTAGGCACCACCTAAACGTGGGTAGCTGTTGTATTACAGCTCTTTTCCGTGACATCTCTGAAGGACAGTAGTTAAGGGAAATCATCATAGTGGAAAGAACTTCAGGCAGTGCACTTGGTTATATGTTCTGTTTGGAAGAAAAATATACTATATACTATATACTCATTCTTAGACTGTGGCCAATGGTCTGACTTGATTGTGAAGGACTTGAAAGGAATATGACTCAAAAACTGGTGAAAAGATATTTGGGCAAGTGTTACATAGGTATATCTCTCCATATGTTGTGAAGGATGTGAGAATATTTGTGTCCCATGTAAATGCCCACCAAAATGTAACTTCAGCAGGAGAGGACTTTAATAATCAAGTGGATAGGATGTCTTGTTTTGTGGATACTATTCAGTTGCTTTCCTCAGCTATCCCTGTCTTTGCCCAATTGGCCCATGAACAAAGTGGCTTTAGTGGCACAGAGAACATGCACAGCCTCAGCAACTTTTATTCACCAAGTTAGAGGTGACTACAAGCACTGCGGAGGGCCTAATCTGCTAGCAGTACACAGCAACACAGATTCTTTGATATGGCACCATTTCCTGAGGTAATCATCCTCTAAGCTGGTGGCAGATTGAATACATTGGGCCATTTCCACCACGGGAAAGGGAGCACTTCATCCTTGTTGGAGTAAACAGTCTAGGGATTGATTTGTCCTTTCTGCATGTAGTGTTTCTGCAAAAATTACCATCTGTCAACGTACAGAGTGCCTCATCAACCATCATGTTATTCCACACAGCATTGCTTCTGACTAGGGAATGGACTTAATACCTGAAGTAGTATGGCACATGTTCTTGGAATTCACTGCTCTTACATGTAGCCCATCACCCCGAAGCACCTGGCTTGATAGAATACTGAAGTAGGCTGTTGAAGTGGCAGATAGTTGGCAGTAGCCTACATGACTGGGGCAATATTTTCCAGAGGTTGTATGTACTCTGAATCAGCATCCAATATATGGTACTGCTACCATATATAGCTAGAATTCATAGAGTAGCTAGAATTCATGGGTCCAGAAATCAAGAGGTGAGAATACAAATGGTACCATATACAAGAGTAAGTTCATAATTACACCTAGTGTGATACTGATGTAGAAAAATAGAGTACCCTGGGACCTCCTCCTCTCTCCAAGGACTCAACTCAGCACTACCCATCAGACAAAGTCATGTTCTTATTTTGTTCTGTCTTTTAACCACAAGATTACAGCAGTTTCTGAACCTTGTTGCACCCTCACTTCCCATAGCAGCTGCTTCATAATCTCCTGTTATCTCATTCCCTGTACTTTACCATGCCCCTCCCTTCAAGTGGAGTTATTTCACAGCTGCTTATTACCTTACTCTTCTGTTGGTTGAGGTAGACCTTATGTTCAAAGATGTAAACCTGTCTGTCACCGTTAAGTAGCTACCTTTGTTTAGCTCACTGTTTCCTGCCACAAACTCTATATAACAACTCCCCTAACCCAGCCTCAGTGCTCAGACTTTGGGGTGCTCAACTCCTCTGGCATGCTGGCATAATAAAGAGCTCCCTCCACGTCTCTGAGCTCCGCCCAATGGTTTCCTGAGTCACCTGTAAATCTGATTTTGCTGTAACATTTGGTAAAATCCAAAGTTATAATAACATTAACACCCTAGCAATCTTCCTGGTCTTTGGCTTGGGCAGGCATTGGATCCTTGATCCCTCTTCTCTGGTCTCCACCTTGTTGGAGCCGCTACTGAATTCTGTAGATTTCCAGCATGCACACAGACATTGTGGATCCTTGTGCCGTTGATTCCACACAGTATAATCATGGACTTTTCCACCTCTGACGCTGTAAATCTAGGTAATAAATCATCTTGTATTATTATACATTTTTTTCTATTGTCTGTGTTCCTCTGGAAAATCTAATTAGTCTAAAGTTATACATTTTTTTAAATAATATATTCATAAATTAATCTGTAGCTTATGCAAAATAGTGATGCAACTGTGAGGTATAAGTGTAGCTTCAAATAAAAAAGACCTGAGTATGTTTAACTTGAACTTTAGGCAGTCGATAATGTCAGCATCTGATTCCTCTGTGGTTCACTGTTATTAATTTTATTTGTTAATGACTGCTATAATTGAAAATTGCTATGAAAATAAATTCAGGAAGGTAGACCTCTACATTTACTTATACCTTATAGGACACTCATTCATGATATTTTATTAAGGGGAACACATTGTTCCCATTCAAAAGTCAAAAAATGATCATTCTCAATCCTCTTGCAATTTTCTTACTATAATTTCCATTTTACAATAATAATGTATCAAAGCCATTCCTCCCACCACTTTTGCTTCTTGCCTAATTTGAGTGCTGATGTGGGATTCATTGGCTCCTTCAGGCCTCTGTACACATGTGAATACAAAGGACCAAAAGCAGACTTAAAGAAAGATGAAAAATCTGAAACCAAAAAACAGCAGAAGTCTGACAGTGAGGAAAAGTAATACAGTGAGAAAAAGGAAGATGAGGAAGGAAAGTAGGAGCAGGAAATCACAGAACAGAAGGCTCAGGTGGAGAACGGCATTCAGACACAGTGACATGAGGGAAGATGACAGATCCCAGCACAGTAGTGGAAATTGGAATGATTTTAAAATGATCACAAAAGAGGAACTGGAACAGCAAACAGATGGGGATTGTGAAGAGGAAGAGGAAGAAGACAGTGATGGAGAAACAGCTAAATCTTCACACAAAAAATCATAATCTGACTAATTTGGGGACTGAATAAGTGCAAGAGATTGGATTTTCTATATTGGCAGATCATCGTAATGTACATGTGGCACTTGTGGCATTCTTTAAGTCCATTTGCTGAAAGGATTTGACAGCCAAGAAGTTCTATTCAGTACTTCATGCTATAGAATATTGGTACTATTATTGGTACAGTCCAAAGCCATTAATAAGTTTTATGCATTTGATAATTTTATAGTAAGTAGATCTCCTTTTGATTGTTATCACAGATTCATTTTCCACAATGACCTTTAGATTAAGGGCATTTTTGATAGTTAAATGGCTTCTTACTCTTAGATTAATCAAAATAAAAGGAATAAACTCCAACATTTCTGATTATTCATAGTTTATGTAGCCATTTCATAGTTTCTTTAGGCTAAAATACTTAAACTCATTGTTCTTGATAGTTATACTTTTGTTTTTCATTATAAAATTCTACCAGGAAATTTCTTAAAGATTCTGAGTTAGCAGATTCAACTAGTCACAGTGCAGGAACAGTTTTGACTTAGCTACAAATTCTCCTCTCCAATTTAGGAAATCCAAGCTGAATTGTACATCTGATTCAGAGAAAGACGGTCATCTCCAGCAGGAACATGAAGAGCACTGGTTGGAAGGTGGTGGCTCTTCTTCCCCACCCCCTTGTCATAAAGTAAAGCGTATTCTGCACATAATTTACAAATAAGCAGTTTATTTTAATTGTTACCTATTATTTAGACATTTCTCAACACTTAAATTTGTAAAATTAAGATCATGTAAGGTTATGTTTTTAGAGAAATGGAAGTTTGGATAACCCACAGAACATTTGTATCTTTCTACAGCAGCTTCAGTTTTGTGCCCACATTCCCTGTATTTGAATATAAGTAAAAACAGATCCTTACCAAATAAGAGCAGACTTAAAGGTAAATGTTTGTATGTCTTAATGTTCATTTTGATTTATTTTAAATCTTTGCATTTAGAAATGGGGTACTGTATTTTCCGACCAAGAGGCACTGCTGTGAAAGGTAATTTACTGTTCTAAAATATCAATTTAAAATAAAGGCTATAAAGAAAAGAAAAAACCAAAGCCATTCCTCCATTAAACCATGACAAGGAAAAAAAAATTAAAACAATAAAAAATGAAATAAAAAAAAAACCATGGCAAGGTGTAGGAAAGAGATTTACATCTCTATCTTCCAGTAATATCTACTCTCTCACAGCTGACTGGCCACCACTAGAATGAGGTGCTTTCTGAGAAATTTCTAGATTTCTTTCCAAGCACATTTCTGTGCAGCTGTACATGTGCAAACTGCTTCCCCCCAAGAGTGAACTTTTGTCAAAAGAGAGACCTGTGAGTCAATGCACAGTAGAGAATAGAAGGAGAATAGAATAGAAGGATCACTATCCTGCCCCAGGATAAGACTATGGAGTTCAGTTGTTCGATTGTTCTCCTCATTTCCCCTTAGCTCTTTTGTGGCTTGTGCAGCATGGACTTTGCTACTGAAATTCATACTGTCTTTCTCCACAGTGAAGACAAAATGTCCCTGGGCCTTTTTTTTTTCTTCCACTACCAGGAATTGAACTCACAACCTTGTGCTTGCCAAGCAGGCACTGTGCTGCTGAGCTAAATCCCCAGGCCCCTCCTGGGCTTTTTCTTTCCTTTTCTTTCCTTTTCTTTCTTTCTTTTTTTTTTTTTTTTTTTTTTTTTTTGGCTTTTTTTTTCTTTTGATTTTTTCAGGTGAATTTTAATAGTATACCATCCTAGCCAGTAGAAATGCTCAAAAGTAAGCTGGGTCCGAACCAAGAAGAGGTCCCCATTTAATACAATTTGTGACATCAAACAAATAGAGACATAGAAGTGAAACAAAAGCAGTTAGTCATCCTAGCTGCTAACCATACCTTGGCCTCTGAAGAAAATCCATCCTGTGCATCTGAGGATGTTCAGATCTGCGTAGCTTGTGTATAATCCCATTTATTAATCTTATCAGGTTCTGTTTCCATGCTTGGGAAATTTTCTGCTATTATTTCTGCAAATATTCTTTTTATGTCAGTTGTGTTGCCTCCTGCTGTCTCACTGACTCCTGTAAGTCGTACATTATTCCTCTTTGGCTCATCTTGCAGCTGCTGAATTGACTTTTCCTGGATCCTTGTTGATTTCATGAGATCCTTTCTTTTACGGTAGCTAGCTGCCATGCTGTCTTCAAGGTCTGAGATTCTATCTTCAGCTTCATTCAAGCGGTTTTGGCAGCTTTCAGTGGCAGCTTTGTTTTCCTGGAAGTCTCTTTGAATCTGGTTAAAGTGTTCTAAGTCCATTCTATATTTTTCATTTAATGCTTCTGTCCATTGCCTTTGTTCTTCTATTTTCTTATATGTTTCTTCTTCAGACTTTATGAGCAGTTCCTTCATTATTATTGTCATTTCATTTTTTGCCTGAGAGATTATTTCTGATCTCATCTCTTCTATGGCTTTATGGACTTGTTTCTTTACTTCCACTGCAATCATTTCAGCTCTTTCAGGCATGTGTTTACCAAGTTCTCCTACGTCAATGTCTCCTGGACTTGTTCTGAGTGGGGTGGAGTTCTCGGATTGTGTTTTAGTCCTTCGTTTTGACATGTTTGCTACAGATATAGAAAGCTCAGTTTCCCTCTTCAGTAGCTGCACAGGAAAGGCCAGTAGTGTCCGCAGTTTTCCTGTTGGTTAGGTTTGCCCCTGCATGACCTCTGAGTAGCAGTACCTAATCTCAGGTTTTCCAGCAATTGTTGATTTATATCTAGTTATCCCAGGTATCAGACATGGGCATTGGTGTCAGCTGATGGCCGACTGTCTGATCCAGTGTCCCTTTGCAGTTCAGAGCACATGCACGGCCCAGACTCAGGTTGCACTGGTGTGACAGTCCTGGTCCAGTGGACCTATATCCCCAGACAGTTTAGGGTACAGGCAAAGCCCAGACACAAACTGTGGAGTTGACAGTTTGTGAACCCCCTGATTCTGTGTCTCCAGTCAGTTCAGGAAACATACAGGAACCAGATGCAGGCCGGACAGGCAGCAATCACAGACTGTCTGTGCCTTTGACCCCATAGTGGGTCCGGGTGAAAGTAAAGCACAGACTCGAACCACTGGACCAGCAGCTCTTGGAGCACTTACTCACTCCGCGCAGGGCAGGTGCAGGGAGAGGCCACATGCGCTGCCCCCAGCTAGAGAAGTTCCTGGAGCTTCTGAGTGAGGACCTCCTGTCTCCCGCAGGTGCAGGGAGGGCAGAGACTCAGTCTGTAATGGCAGCGGGGACCTGGGTCACCCTCTCTACCCTCAGGAAGTAGATGGGAAATACCTGGCTCTCTCCACGAGTTTCAGCTGGGAACTGTGGCGGTGTGAGTGAAGCACGGACTCGAACCGTGGGACCAGCAGCTCTTAGAGCACTTGCTGACTTGGCTTTTTTTGTCTTTTTGAGACAGGGTTTTACTGTGCAGTCCAGGCCGGCCTTGAGCTCACTTTGTAGCCCAGGCTGGTCTCAAACTCACAAGGATCCTCCTAGCTCAGCCTTCCCCCACCCCATTGCTGGAATTACAGGCGTGCGCCACCACACCCGGCCCCTGGGCTTTTTCAATAGGAAGAAAAATCTGGCTAATCTCTGCTTTTGTCATAAAATTGATGAAACTCTACAGAGCTCAAAATTAGTGGACTGAAACTCTTTAGAGTAGAATGAGTGCTAAATGATGCGACTGTGGCTTACAAAACCATGTGACAGCAAAGGAAATCCAGTTAGTTAAACACATCCTGCTCTCAGTAGGCAATCATAAGATGCTAGAAAACCGTCTTATAAAAGGTCCATTCATTCTTCTTAAAGAATCCTGATCAGTTGCTAAACTATATGCATAGAACTCCTTATCTCATTATGGAAACCTGAAGACCTTCTATAGGGTAGAGGAGTCTTGTTTAAAAATATTTTAAACATAATACAGGTGCTTTTTTTCTACTATTCTATTCCTCTCTTGGTCCCCATCTTATCTACAATATGATGTGAAATAAATTTCTACTTGTTCACCTTCACCTGCATTATCTATCAATCACCTTCCACTTCTATCAAGTGCAAGTCAGCACGTCAGAATATTGGACTATGATTTGTACCTCATAAAACACGTCCAATTTTATCCTTGGACAAAATCATTTTTATTGCTTTATACCTAATTTCATCAAAATAAGCCCAGAGAAGTGCATATAGCCTATAGCAACATTTTTTTTTCTTTTCTTTTTGTGCTGCCACATGGTTAAGAATTCTTTGTATTTTTTAAATGCCTGGAGAAAAACAAAAGCAAAATTATTATAGTTTGATGCATCAAAATTATATGAAATGAAAATTTCTTCTGTCCATAAATAAAATATGTGGAACTCAGTCATTACATATTACCTGTAGCAGTTTTTGCACTTAAGTGAAGTAGAACTGAGAATTTGTGACAAAGCATTTCCAGTTCAGAAACCTTAAAATTTTCACTGTCTGGTACTTTTCAGAAATTTTTTCCAGCCCCTAATCTAGAGTTATAGTCCTCATGATCATGGCTACTTCACACCTATTTCTACGAAACTCATATTTCTCTTTGCTTAATGTTCAGAATATCAAAATCTTGTATATATTTAGAAACAGAGTATTTTAGAACATTTTTTATTAGCTTTTCTTGAATTATGAATTGAAGAATGATTCTTGAATCTACAACAACTTGATGTTTCATATTGTCTTTTTTTTTTTTTTTGTCTCTTTGAGACAGGGTCCCGCTATGCAGTTAAGGCTGGCCTTGAGCTCACTTTGTAGCCCAGGCTGGTCTCAAACTCACAACGATCATCCTGCCTCAGCCTCCTAAGGTGGGATTACAGGTGTGAGCCACCATACTTGGCCATACTGTCTTAAAATAATACATCCTTTGCCTAGCACTTGCTTTCCAAAAATAATAAAGCAATCATGACCATAAGCATATTTCAAACATGAGTACATTTATTTAATTGAAATTTTATGAAATTAACAAAGATCAGCATTCATTTCTGTGACTGACTGTGGGTGAATTTTCCCCCCTGTAATTGCTAGCAATCTAGGAATGATATCAGAACCTCCAAATTTGATATACAGGAAATATTACAACTTCCAACCTGTTAGGTATCTGATATGCCAAGTTTGTGCTCTCTAAAACTGAAGAATGAATTCTAGAAACAATGGTGCCTAATAGTACGAAGAATTTGTTGAGCAATAGAAAGCTCCTGTCTGAGAGGGACAGGAAGGGACATCCAGAAATTTGGTTGCCCAGCACCACACTTCTTAGGAAAATTTTTATGAAGCTCAGCCATGAGGGTACAATGTGGGCTACAGCTAACATCAACTAACAAGAGTATAAGTAAAGTCACTTGGGCAATACTGATTCAGTGAGGAAGCAAGTCACATAGCAAGCAGGCCTGAAAAGAACAAAGAACCTCTCAGGTAGATGATAAATCTGGGGGCCTTGGTCGCCCATTGAAGTGACTGATGCCTATTTATACTTTATTAGACCGTTTGTTATCACTTTTCTCACCCCTTGGGAATATTTAGGTCTAGCCCTTTCATTGTTATCTTGTGGCCTGGCTTTCAATTGATACGTCTTTAGCCATAGTTGTGGTGTTTTTTTCACCTTTTTCCTGGTTCTTTCAAGGATCTAGCCCTATCTGACTGCCTATAATATTTATACCTACCTTAGCTGTCTATAACACTATAATTAAGAACTGCTAGGATGCTAAATATTTCAGGAAAAGAATGGCTCTACATTTATTTGTATATTATATAATTCTCAGTATACATTTCACTAAATGGAAACCATTATTCTTTTTCATAAATCAAGACCTTGTGATTCTCACCCATCCTGATATTTTCTTACAATAACTTCCTTTTTATAATAACAGAAGAAAGTCATTCTTCCATGAAAATCAAGAGAAGATGCAGGAAACAGATTTACTTCTCCACTATCCAATTATATCCAGTCTTCTTATAGTTGACTGGTCTCCCCTGGGATGAGGTGCTTTCTGAGAAATTTCTGGATCTCCTTCCAAGCATGTTCTTGTGCGGCTGCATGTGGGATAACTTCTCCTCCCCAGTGAATGGTTGGCACCACAAAAGGGATCCTGGAAGCACGGCACAGTGGAGAATAGGGGGGTTCTATCAGGTGGCCAGCCCCAGGGTAAGACAGTAAGGTCCAGTTGTTCTTTCCATTTCTCCGCAGCTGTTCAGTGGCTTGTTCAGCATGTACTTTGCTGTTGAGATTCTTATCTTCTTCCCCCACAATGAAGAGGAAATGTCCCTGGGCCTTTTCAATAGGAAGGAAAGACTGGCTAATATCAATTTCACTTTTTGTATAAACCTGATAGAACTCTGCAAATCCCAAGGCGTTGGTGGATTTATACTCTATAGAGCAAACTGCAGGCTGAATGATCCGACCATGGTATATGTGTGGGTTACTAATAATGAAATTAGCCCCATTAATAAGCACTGTGGCTGTGATTTGTTTTAGATGAATTGCCATAGACAGTCCAATCTCTGCTCCTTTACATACAGAGACTAGCCCAAGGCCTGGGCTGGAGACCTGAAAGCAATGAAAAGGAAATGTTATTTTATCTTTCAGTTAAAAGAAAAATGCACAATTTTAGACAATTGAAGAACTTCAATTACTGAAGAAAGAAAGTGAAAAACCCTATCCATATGCTCTTATATGTCATGTATAGTGTTCTGTAATACAAAATGTGTATTCAAAAGAAATATTCTGTTGGAACTGTATCAGGATTTGCTAACTAAATAACATGGATTAAGTGAGGCGTTTGGCTATTTTAGTTTTAAATGCCCTGATGAAATGTTGTGATAAAATAAGTAATATGTATGTCTTATTGTACGTAATACGAGTCAGGGGATAATAGATTAATAAAGTTTGTTGTATCAATTCTATTCTCTACAAATTCACAAAAAAGTGAGAAATGTGACAGCAGGATAGACCAAGAAACTTGGACAGAAGGCCCTATACATTCTTTACTTTCGAAAGGATATTTCAAAAGGATACCTAGTGTATCTTGTTCTTTTATTGTAGGTCATTAATAAGCATTTTTAGATCATCCATTTTGTTTTAAGAACTGTGAAACTGAGAGAGGGAAGTCACAATCTCTTGATATCAAGGAACTCCCAACCAGATGGAAAGACATGAGAAAAAACAACAAAATCAAGATAATTTGTGTATTATGAATTCTATGATATAAGAAATCACACAGGGCTGGGGAGATAGTTCAGTGGCACAGCACCTGCCTGGCAAGTGTGAGGTCTTGAGTTCAATTCCTGGTACCAAAAAATGCAAAAAATAAGCATGTAGGAAAACTAACAATATAGATAGGCAATGAATAATGCAAAGAAAAACTCAGAGAAAAAGCTCTATGAACTGAGCCTTCATATAAAAAAATGTCTGCTAACAAGAAAGGGTAGTATTCTATGCTGAATTTAACAGACATTGCTAAATGTTTATACAAGAGCTATTCACCATGATTTCAAGACTAAGATGACCTTGATCTGTTTGACTATTGCCCTACAAAACATATTTTTTCAGATTCTGCTAATGGTCAATATATCCTACTTAAGCATTCTTTTTTCCTCAGGCAAAATACACAGAATCATATAATGAAAGCCTGTTTTCCTGACTATTCTTTCCAGTTTAGGATACTGGCATGTTGACTTAATGCCTGACATGGCCATAGACATCTGGTGATCTAGAGTGTAAGTTCAAAAAGTTGTAAAACTGTCACCCAGTCTCCTTGATGAGATGCATCACTGATTATCTGAACCAAAGTTTGAGTCACCCGTTTTCATATATGTTACAAGAGATAAAATGCCTTATGTTGATGTTGTTTGAACCACTATGATTCACATTCCTGGGAAATATAGCCAGAACTTTCCTATTGGATTCATCATGTGAAGAACATGTGGAAAAACAGAGACAGCAAATATCAGTGTATTTAGGGAACCACAGGTAGCTCTTCATACTTGAATTTGGAGGGTAAAGTGGGAAGTAGAAAAATAAGGTAGAAAAGAAAATGTCAGCATGATAATGAACATTTTAGAAAGATGTACCAAGTACTGCATTATGGCAGAATTGAAAGATGGTAAAAAAAAAAAAAAATAGAGCTGAAGAAGTATACAGAAGTCAGATCATGATATATTTTATCTGCTATGCTAGGAAGCCTGCCTTGCATCCTTTAGCAAAACAGAAGATCCTGCACAAGTGAGCAAAACAGTTATGCCCTATAAAGGCCAATTGTACAACTCTTACTTTAAAAAACGGAAACAGAATGTCAGAGCTTATAGTAGTAGGATAGGCCAAAAATGATGGAGTCCTGAGAGAAGGGAGAACAAATCAAGTGAAGTGAAAGGGAAACATGTTCAGGAGTTGTTTATGAGTATAGAATAAACCTTTCTCAGGCACCAGGTAGGTTTGGGAGTGCAAAGGAGAAGTTAAAGATGATTATTGTTTATGGCAGAAAATATAGTTTAGAGAAATTATCTTTGGGTCCTGACTGCTTGCAAGGACCAAGGTTTCAGACTTTTTTCTAATGTCTTTACCATTCTCACATACTTTTCTTAATTGGTCTTCTATATTTTTAAGTCATTTTATCAACAAATTCATAAAGGTTATTTTCCTTCTACTTAGAAAAAAATGACTGAATATACCACTTGCACCATAAAGGTTATTTTCCTTCTACTTAGAAAAAAATGGCTGAATATACCACTTGCACCTGGTGGACAGAAATGTGAGAAATAATCAGGATAAGGGGACAAAAATCTCAACAAATATACTAAGTCATGTATGCTATTTCCCTCAGTAAATGTTAGAAGGGATGGTTTGTGTCAATTAAAATATTTGAAATTCTTTTCTAAGTCTTATTTTTAATTGACACATTAAAATTCTGTACATTTATGAGGTATAATGTGATGTATGTGTATGTATGTTTCAGAATATTTTTATGAGTGGACATTTTGTAGTGAGCTAATCAAGCTAGTAAGTATATTTTATCACTTCATACACACACTTTTTCTTGTAATAAGATCATCTGAAATCTACTCTTTCCGTAATTTTGAAATACACAATATATTATTAACCATAGTCATGATGTAATATGATAGATCAAAGGAAATTATTCTCCTTGTCTTATTGGAAATTTGTATTCTTTGACTAATATCTCCCTTTTCCAATTCCATACCTGCCTCAAAATTCTGTCTTAAAAGAAAAGATACAGTTACAACAAGAAGACACAGAAACTCAATGCAATCTGCCATGGAAAATAAAGTAAAATATGTATAACATAAATGGAAAAAAATAGGTGACTCAAATATGTGTAGGCTTTGTCTAAATTTTTTGAGACAAGGTCTCACTATGAAGTACAGGCTGGTCTTGAAGTTGCTTATGTAGCCCAGGCTGGCCTCAAACCCTGCTGAGTCACATAGTTAACCCTTTAAACTTTTCAAGTTGATACAATGAACAATATTCTAGAGCTGTAAAGGCATGTCCTTTTCACCCCAGGATGTAGAACTGCTGAGTCACTTAGTTAAGCTTTTAGACTCCTCAGGTTGACACAATGTATCAACCATAACAATGATCCTCCTGCCTCAGCCTCCCAAACACTGGGATTATAGGCATACATGAGGAAAAATAACTCTTGTCTTAATTTATGCCATCAAATTTGGGATCAAGGAAATTGCAATTCATAAACGTTGCTTAAAATCTATGGGTAGAAAAATAAGACCTACAAGGAACTGAAAGATCTCTAGTCTATTATATTTCACAAGAAGTTCTGTGAAGCAAGGATGGAAGTACTCACAGCAGGTTGGAAAGAAATCTGGCTCGTCATGAACCAGTTATGTGGAATTGCTACATAAGGATGGAACTTGCATGCAAGCAAATATAAGGAGAACAAGACTAAAGCAATAAAAAAGCAAAATCACATAACCTCTCATTTTTTCATCTAAGACAGACAAAGGACCACCGTAATTGTCACATCTACTATCTGACAGTTCAAGGACAATTTCATTACATGCATCAAAGAGCCATTTAAAGTTTCAGTACATCAGAATGTTATCAGTAATTGTTGCTCATTTTACTATAATCCTGACTCAGTTATGGTGAGGCATACAGGAACATTTTTCACTGCCTAGATTTTATTTTACTTCAATTCTTATGGGGAAAAATATAGAAAATCATCAAGGGATACTAAGCACCAACCCTGTTATAGCAGAAAAGCACATATCTTAAGATGTAGATTGCAAAATACTAGAGTATTAAGTTGAAGTTGTTTTAAGTAACTAAATCATACCAATTTTTCAAAGAAGTACATACATCTGGTGTAGGACAGTGATAAGAGGGTGATGATAATAATAATAATTACTTACTTTTATTGAGTGATTAGCACTGTCACTTTGCATGTATAATTCTCTCCAAAACTCACCAAGACACTAAGAAATAGTATCACACTATATTACTTATACCATAGAAAACACAAAGGATAAGAGAATCTAAGTCAGTAACTTGTCCCAAATCCCTTACCCACATCAGATGAAGCCAGAAAAATACTTCATTTTTGGTCTGAATTCAAAACTTATGTCTTTTGCTATCCAGAGAAATACAGGCTCACTTCCTATGCATTTTGTTTTTCTGAACAAAAGACATTGGATGAGAAACATGTCACATGAATAATGTGGGTATGTAGCAAGAATATTATGGTTATTCAAATATCGGAAGTAAAGCAAGTTCAGATGCAAAAATTACCTTAGGATGTCTGAGAAGAAAGTTGGCAGCTTCCTCAAAATAGTCTAAATCCACTTTCTCCAGAAAGGCAGGCAGGTCGTCATAGCGCCAATAAGCCAAGGCCAAGGAGGCAAAGCCGTGACTGGCCAGCAGACTAGCCCGGAATTCAAGCAGTCCACCAGTACCACCAAACAAATCAATTACCCCTGGGAAAGGGCCCTCTCCTGAAAAACAACAATACAAAATGGAATTGTGTATGAAGGGACGGTAAGAAAACCATAATAAAAATTTGGCAACAGTACAAAGAAATGCATCAGATACTTGGATTTAATGTGTAAAATTGCAAATAGAGATCCAAATTTTGGGGCTTATACCTGGGCTACAATAAGGTCTAACTGATATCTAATATGTGATAGAACACATCTAGAAGTTTTAACGGAATACTCAGTCAACGACACGTTAATCTCTGCAGCAAAGGGTTATAGTGCTCATTTCTTTATCTTAAAGAAAGGTATAAAAATTAGACTAGAAGTTCTTAAGCAGTAGAAGATACACAAGTGGGACCTTGAAATCTATGACATTCTTTATATATATATATATCCGTTTTACTGATGCAAGGTGCTATAGTTTGATCTAAAATGTTCCCCAAAGGCATATGTGTTAAAAATTCCCCTTCTCTTTGCTTTACAGCCATAAAGTGAAAAATTTTGCTCCACAACATGCTCTGCCAGGATATGTTGCTTCGCCCAAACAAAAGGACCAACTGACCATAGTCTAAAACCTTTAAAATTATGAAAGAAAATAAAATTTTCCATTTATAAGTTGATTACTCCAGGCATTTGCTACAGTAACAGAGGGAGAAAACTTCTTTAAATGATAATATTGGCTAAAAATATGCCTCAATTCTATTAACTGACTACACAGTGATGAATTTGGCCATGTAAGCAAATGTAAGTGATGTAAATTTTATAATACCTTTTATTCCCTGACATCAGGGTATCATGCTTCACTCACTTCATGTGCAGATAGCTTATTTTCAAGATAAGTCAGAGCCCTCACACTAACAGAATGCTGTAGTACATTAATTGGAGTATTCTATTATTTTATAGATGATTTAGCTAAATAAGATTGGTCTCACTCATGTTTAAAACAAAGGTTTGATTTAAATCAGTAATGGAAAAAATTTTAGATACTATACTGACCTTGAGGAAAGAAAAGTAAAGTGGTACCTAGTATATCTTTGTTAAAAAAAACCACTCGTGCAAATAAATAAAGATGTTTTTGCATCATCTGGTTGGCAGAAAATGGGAGAACACTTGAAAGTATGATTCCCTTATCTAGAAAGAATGTTAGAGTTGAGAAATGTTTTGAGATCTGACTCAATTAATTTATGGTCCCACAGAATTCATTCTAGTGTGTGCCCCAGAACAAATACTTAAAGCAGAGACCCTGAGCATGCAGCGTCTTTGAGGGTTCAAAAATTGCATACCCTGAACAAAATATCATCCCAAGATGAAAGTCTGGCAACAAAGTACACATTTATAATGAGAGGTTATTGCTATTCATGTAACGTACTTCCTGCTTCCTACATAAAGTGAAGTGTCTAATTGTGCTAACTACTGAGTATTAAAAGTTCAAATTTATCAAAACAAGTGTATTAGTCATGGTAAATTTGGAAAAGGAAGCTGTTATTTTTTGTTTAGCATTTATAACCCTATATTGATCACTAGAACACACCCCTAACATTTCAAGGGTCCTCAAATGATTGCACTTGTACAATATAAATAAATAACCAAGGCAGCATATCTAAACGAGGTAATGGCTCTCTCCTGGAGAAAAGCATTTGTCCCAGGAAAGGAATCTCAGATCTCAAATCTGGACCTTCTAAAGTTTTAAAGAAACTAAAGGAAATTACCCTTAGTTCATTTAGTTCCATAATAAACTTGTGCCAATAGATGTTGCAAACCACCTCCTGGTATGTAAAAATCACTGTGGAAAACCATGAATGTTCTGGTAAACAGTAGGGAGTGTGCTGTATTATCTATTTTGTGGGATATTCTATAAACAGAATATCCCACAAAAATTAAGGGAGTGTGCTGTATTATCTATTTTGTGGGATATTCTATAAACAGAATATCCCACAAAAATATTTTATTTTTCTAACTAAAAGGGATAAAAGTTTCTATGCATCCTCTGTATTTGCTGCAAACTTTTGGCTCATCATTTCACTAGCACGTTGTGAGAACAATACCATACCAGATGCTTAAACCAAAACTCATGAAAGAGCTCCTAAAAATAGCTGGGATATGTCTTTTATGATATCAAGAAGAGGATCCTAAATTAGCCAGGGTTTAATGCAAATGAATTTAGCACAAGTCCAAAGTTTTGAAATCCAGTGATGTAGGAACTCCGTTACTAATATATGTAGTCATTTGGTCAGACAAGATGCACAATTGTTGAGGTAAAACTTGACTTAGAAGTATTACCAGGTGCTCATTCTGATCCAAAAGGAACATTAACTCTAAGAAAGGAAAGTTGGGGATAGGCATTGGGCACATTCAAGATAAATTTCTAGAGCAACAAGTCATTTAGAGGAGAGAAACACAGGACAACAGTAAGCAGAGTCATTCTCCTCACCTGGAGGGAGAAAGAGGGCTCCCCGGAGGCGGCCTTCCCTCACCGGGATCCGCGTGACACCAGGTGCCACGTACCACCTTTCCACGGTCAGGCTGGCCATTGGAGCACGGGCAGATTCATATTGTACTGGGAAATATGGCTCAAAGAGTTGTAATTGGACCTGGAACGGACTATTCATCACATCTCTTTTCATCAGTCTCGTTAACAGTTTTTCAGGTTTCAAGGACCAGAAGAGCCCCATGGGGTGGACTCCCACATAGTCACCTCCAAGCGCAGCATCACGCTCCAAATCGACCTCACCAGCTTCATTGGCCTTATAGTAGGCTTCAGAACGAAACAGGGTCTGCTTTTCATCTGTCAGTGATGCCTGAAGACACACCACCTGGAAAGGACTCAGGCCTGTGACTCGGATCTGCACGGGCTCATCAACAAGCGCGCTCTGAGGAGTAGCTGTCAGCTGAACCATTTTGCGGTAATGGAACGTTGGTTCAGTCTTCAGAAGAACTGCCAATAAAATCTAGAAATATATATAAAAATAGGGATTCATGAAATAATGTAGTGATAAGGTCAATGAATGGTGAAATAGATCAGAAATCAGACCTCTTAGGATTCAGTTTTAACACTCTGGTGATTTATCTTCAGATTTATCTGGAAATATCCTATTATCTATTAGTACAAGATGTCTGAGAATGGGCAACAAATTTGTAGCAGCAAAAATAAATGTCGTATGTTTTATTACAATTAAACTAGGTTTGAGGAAGCAGTAGTTCGAATGTGCACAAATGGTATCAATATATCAAGCATGATATCATAGTCTGTCATGTCACTCCTGCAATATCGGATAGAAAAACAGGTAGGACCGAGATGCAGGGCTGAAAATAAAAAGATAATTTATCAAACTTCTGTCTATGCAGAACAGTTGACTCCAATACTAATCCTATCCCCAAATTCTAGAAACAATGTCCAGCATCTAAGACCTCACCTTCAACACAGCACTTGAAAAAAAGAGGACCATTTCAAAAGAATGAGAATCAAATTTTTTGAAAGTAAGGCTGACGTGTGTATTGCTTCCTAGAGAAAACATATCCATCTCTTTGGATTATCACTTCACCCAATAAAAAGTCCAAAGTAGAGCGTGACAAGAACTTCAAGTACATAGAAGTCTTGCTGAACATTTCCTTACCTCACTCTTAAAAATTAACATTTTTGTTATGTGGACAAAACCATGAGTGACCACTGTTCTCACTCTAACACTCAAGCAATCAGGAGAGATTGCAAACTAAGATTTTGTTTATTTGGTTTCTGTCTTTGTTTTTGTTTAACTCATTAATTTGCTTAGAATGCCAAGAATGAATTTAATTCCCGCAAGTCAAAAGCTACCCAGGAGCAGAAACTTTTGTTTCCTTAAAAACTACTAATGGTTATGAACTGTCCATGACACTCTCACAGAGATCAATAAGAATAAATGATAAAAACCCTTCATGCACTTTTAATGGATGTATGGAGGCTGGTTTTGAAACAGAAGAGAAGTACATGCCTCTCTCACACTTGTGCCTGTGCTGCCTGAGGGTGTGTGACTTTGCCTGGGGCTAGCATGCCCCTCCCTATTGCATCCCTTTTCTCTCCTTTTTATCCCAATAGACTGAGGCAGTTTGCTTCAGTGTCCTCCCTGGCTACCTAATAGTGTCCTCCTTGATTATCAAATCCCCACTCACCACTCCAATATGAGTGTAGGTAGGCAGCATGGTGTCCCATCCCCCTCCCTCCACTTCAGTAGGCACTGTTACATTTTTGAGAAAGCAAAGGCATTTGGGAGTAACTAAGATCAGGAAGGGAGGGATCTGAACCTCTTATTTACATATTCAGGATTCACAGCAAACCTTCCAAAAGATTTTTTGGTCTCAGTCCTCACCCTCAATGAAACAGGTCTACAAGCTGCTACATAAGTAGCACTTTCCAAAAGACACACTTGGCTTGGGGTCTTAGTCTAGAAGGGCTGTCTCCTGTGTACTAGCACCCCTGTGGGACAATGTTGGTCTTATTAAAATACAGACTTGCTTTGTGTCTGCGAACTTTTTATAGGACCTCACTGATGCTGAATAGCAGTGTATGAAAAACAGAGCCTGAATACTCTCAGTCTGAGGTTGAGATAAATACTTGAAGAATTGTAGGCTTTCTGGTAAAGCAAAGCAATGATCCTCCCAAGGGAGAAAGCAGAGGACTGGACAAAAATATTCTTACACTCTGAAAACCAGGAGCATGGGTACAGAAGCAGAGAAACCCCTTAACAACCCTCCAGAAGAACTGTAAGTAAGAATTTGCCACAATTTGGAAAGCTAGTAACATGTCTATAAAACACAGAAATTACCCAGAAGTTCATTAGCTGGTGATGGGAAAGGCCTAATGTACAAACCAAAACTATTTGAATTAGTGCTGCACTGACTTAAAGCTTCAACAGCGCAAGACCCATCTCAAAAACAGATCATACTTAGCACCTAATTCCAACATTCTGAGAAAACAGAGGTAGCTTTTTTTTCTGAAGGGAAACCTTTCAGTTATTATTTTCCTAAAAAAATATACAGTTAATAAAAAAATATACAGAGTTAATTTAAAAAATCATGATGCACAAGATGGGTAGAAAAACCTAACTCATGATTATAACACAAAACTGTTTATGATCAAAACAGAAGCATCCCAGAACTTGGAATTGTTACACAAGAAATAGGGTAAAGGAGTAGTAATTATAAGGACAGGTCTATGAATATATCTAAAGAAAACTACAAAGAGGGTAACATAAAAGGAGAGAGAAAGCTACCAAGCACTGATTTGCCAGGTATCACAGCTAAAAATGAAAGAATTAAGCTCTTAATAACATCTGCAATGGTATAGCAAATGTCGAAAGTGGAGAAAGGGTGTAGAGATAAAAGGGTTACATAAACTGGAAAGGACGAAATCAAATTATCACTATTTACAGATGGCATGATCTTTCACAAAGAAGACCCAAAAACTTCCACCAAAAGACTTCTAGACTTAATTACTAAATTCAGCAGTGTAACAGGATACAAAATCTACATGCAAAAATCAATAGCATTCCTGTGTAACAATAATGAATTCACCAGGAAAGAAATTAGGAAAACAATACTATTATAGACTATTATATACAGCTAAATGAGGAAGAACTATTGTAGTTAGGAGTAGACCCTCCCTTGAGAAGTGAGATCCTTGGCAATCCACTCAGGGCTCATTCTGTCTTAGACAGAAGCTTTCTTCCCCTCAATAAATATATTCTGCTCTCAACTTCTATTGTTCCCACAATTCATTCTTTGATTTTAGAGAACATGAACTGGGCATGTCAAATATCTATGAGGTTAGCCTGTTGGGAATTATAATATTTTCCTTATATTATTTGGATTATTTGGAGGTCCTATATCACCCCTATATCATTTGGAGGTCTTCTACCAAGATAATTGAATGGAAGTAAGACTTTGCTTTTATTTCATAGATCCTGGATTGTGATTCATTTAGGTAATCAAAAATTTTTATGACTTGAATTTTTAAGCATTGTCTGTTAATTGCATATGCTTTACATTTTTATGCTATATTTCTGATTATTGCTTATGATTTGTCTCATACAAATTGTTTTGTTAAAATGATAATATATTTAAATTAAGAACATGTTGCTTCTTTAATGGGACATTTTATTCCTGTTTTGTATACGTTGCATTTGGACTATTTGCTGAATTTACTGGTGTTCCTTGCTTGATTTGTTAAACAACAGCACTAGAAAGAATAATGTTAAAGCATCCCCTAGTGAACTTTGGTATAAAGTTCTGTAAAATGGGTCTTTTATGAAATCTAGTTTATATTTAAGAAACATACATGCCTATTAATAAATCATATGACATTTTCTGACAGTTAAAAGACAATAGGTTGATATCTATTCTTAAGACTTGGGGGACAGGTTTCACTGAGAAAAAGTGGCCTGATCCTTCTCTATGCTCTAAAGAAAATGTTAAGACTGTTTGCCTCAGTTTCCTTTCTGGTCTGATTTTCCACTGGTGAGGAGGCAAACTTTTCTGATCTTGCCCTGCCACGTTGTAGTTTCCTTCTTTTGGAGGCGTGTAAGATTAGAGAGAGAGGAAATGTAAACTGCCCCAACAATTCCAACCCAACAACTAAGAAACTTTACATTGAGCCTGTAAAAAATGAGCCCTTTTAACTTTAGAGCCATCTTGTCATTGGACTGCTCCTTCCTCCAGAAGTCAGGCTGAGGTAGCTTCCAACAATTTTTCCTTTCATAGAGGAAAGCAGCTATCAGGAGAATGATTTACATTTGTGCCTCACATATGCTGAGTGAGAAGGAGATTTCAGTCAGTCTTTCTCTTTCATGTGCACACAGAAGACTGACAGATGTCTTTACTAACTTATGAATTGTGGTAACTAAATGATGGGTATAAGTTTAACCTATGAGCTTCAGAGATGTAGAGATTTTTGAATGGATATGAAAAAAACTTAGCCTTGTCTTACTACTAAGGAAAGTTGCCTAGGTGATTAGGTAGATAAGAAGAATATCTTAGAGGCTTCTTCCTCCTAGGGCCCAGGGATGAATTTTTCTCTAATTTTTCTCTGAATTATAATAATAATTATCTCAAGAGATAACACCTTTTCCGACTGAGAAGTACTCCAACTATTTCCAACTCACATTCTTTGGTATTTGCCCTCGCACTCTTTCAAAGGAGTGGAAAGCAGTGATTTAATGCTAAGTAATGCTTCCTTCTTTAAACATGACTGTTACAGTTAAAATCAGTTGTAACTTGTGCTTTTAAAAACACCTGCTGGAGTTAACATTTCAAATTACTGTAGAAGATAGATAACAAGCTATCCACCTTCCTGATAAAAGCTATTTAAGCTGATAAAAGATGGACAATCTGGACACAACCTATCTTCTTGTCCCTTTCCAGATGGCAGCTGCCTGCTCTGGAGTGGGTCACCTCAGGGGACAGCTTGGGGATATAGAAGTAATGTAAAAATAAAATTTTTCTCTTATATTTTCTGATGGGGAAATTGATATCAAAATCTCTTTCTCTTTTGGAATATATTCTTAAACATTGGAAAATGTTCTACTCTTACATGTTGAAAAAGAATCATTTAGTATTTCTCTGAACCCATGCATGGCCTGCCTCCACTGACAGCCAAAATGGAATGCAGAGGGAAATACTAATTTTGATGGTATTTCACAACCAGAATTGTACTGTAAGAAAGAGAAAAATGGTTAGAATTACCTTATGTTCAGATTTAATTTGCATTAAGAAATAAGTTGTATTTGTGTTCAAAATATAATTATAAACCATAGAAGAATATGCATATTCATGCATCCTTTCCTCTTAGTCACCTAAGACAGATCAAATAAGATCTAGGAAAATTTTCAGATGACCCTGATAAATACATTTAGGTCCTTAGAGGGCTTATTCAGACCTATAAACTAGATTGGGTAAGTGTAATGTTACTCTTAAATCA